TTTTCGGTGAAATCGGGGAAGCGAAATTACGCAGCCTGGTGAAAGCCTTCAGGAAGCCAGTCAGCCGATGTGCCTTCTTTCGATGAAAGCAAAAATAAGGATGGGGACGTGGAATATTCGTACAATGTACGAAGCTGTAAAGGCTGCTCAGGTAGCCGCAGAAATGAGAAGATATGGAATAGAAGTGTTGAGAATCTTCGAGAGCAGATGGAACGGATGCGGAAGGTGCCAACTGCCAACTGGAGAGACATTAATCTACTCCGGTCACCCAGAGGACGATCACAAGCACACCGATGGAGTAGTCATCATGTTGTCATCAACAGCGGCTAAGGCTTTCATGCAGTGGGAACCAATCTCGTCCAGGATAATGACAGCCAGGTTCAACTCAAAAGGAAAAAAGGTTACAATCATACAATGCTACGCGCCCACAAACGTCTCAGAACAAGAGAAGAAGGAGGTCTTCTACATACAACTACAAACAGTAATGGACTACGTCCCAAAGAGCGATATCAAAATCCTGATTGGTGATATGAATGCGAAACTGAGAGGAGACAATACAGGAAGAGAACTCATCATAAGTCGCGAGGCCCTCGTGAAATGAACGAAAATGACGAACTCTTCTTAGACTTCTGCGCCTTCAATGATTTGGTGATTGGTGGCAGTAGGTTCAAACACAAGGATATACACAAGGCGACATGGATTTCACCAGATGGACACACCAAAACCCAGATAGACTTCATTTCAATCTCAAGGAAGTGGAGACGGAGCCTACTGGACACAAGATCTAGGAGAGGAGCAGATGTGGGTTCAGACCACTATCTAGTACAAGGGACTTTCAAGGTGAAGCTGAAAGCCTCGAGGATACCTGAGGATAGGCCACAATGCAAGTTCAACACGCATAAACTGAAGGACACAATCACACAGGACATTTTCACTGCAACTGTCAGAGCAAAGCAGGAAACACTAAGTAGCACCACTGAGAAATCATCCGTGGAAGACCACTGGAACTCTCTGAAGGTGATTTTCAATGAAACGTGTTCAACGGTTTTAGGAAGAAAGAAGAAACAAGACAAGAAATGGCTCTCAACGGACACTTGTAAGCTAATAGAGGAGAGGAGAATGTTGAAAGAGAAAATGATTCAATGCAAATATGGACAAGAGAAAGAGACGCTGAGCTCAACTTACACAGCACTGGACAAAGAAGTGAAGAAAAGTGCCAGGAAGGACAAAAGACGATTCTACGACAACCTGGCCACTGAAGCTGAGAAGGCAGCAGGCAAAAGGGACCTAAGGACACTATATCAGATAACCAAGTCTCTATCCGGGAAGAGATCAACACAAGTGAAACCTATAAAAGACAGCCAAGGGAACCCAATTACCAAAGGAGAAAGACGGATTAAACAATGGGCGGACCACTTCAAAGGACTCTTGAACAGACCATCACCTGCAACCCGTCCAGAAATACCAACAACAGCACGTACACAACTGCAAGTTGACACCAATCCTCCAACGAAAGCTGAAGTCCTGAATGCAATCAAACTTTTGAAAGCTGGAAAAGCAGCTGGACCAGATGGAATACCCTCGGAAGCACTGAGAGCGGACCCAGAAACGACGGCAGATATGCTGACTCCATTATTGCGAAAGGTCTGGAAAGAGGGAAAGGTGCCTACTGACTGGAGGAAAGGTTACCTAGTGAAGCTACCAAAGAAGGGCAACCTAGGACTCTGCAAGAACTGGCGAGGAATCATGCTCCTGTCGACGCCAAGTAACATCCTGAGTCGCATCATCCTGGAGAGAATCAAGGACGCACTGGATACACAACTCCGACCAGAACAAGCTGGATTCAGGGAAGGCAAATCATGTTCCGACCAAGTTGCAATTCTGCGCATCATCATCGAACAAAGCATGGAATGGCAATCAAACCTCTTCCTCAACTTCATAGACTTTGAGAAGGCCTTCGACAGCGTTGACCGCGAAGTAATTTGGAAACTACTCAAGTACTACGGCGTACCCCAAATATTCATCAACCTTATTCAACAGCTGTACGACAACGGCACATGTCAAGTGATCCACAATGGAAAACTCAGCGAGGCGTTTCGAGTAAACACAGGAGTCAGACAAGGGTGCTTATTACCACCAATGATATTCCTAAATGTGGTGGACTGGTATATGTGTCAGACAGTGGAAAACGAGAAGATAGGGATATCCTGGACCAACGTGAAGAACCTCGAAGACCTGGATTTCGCGGATGATTTATGTTTGATGTCACACAAGATCGTAGACGTACAAGCGAAAACCAACAAACTGGTTGAAGAAGCAGCAAAGACAGGACTGCAGGTGAACATGGACAAGACGGAGGTTATAAAAGTAACCAACAAAAACAACAACAGCAGCAACATCCAGCGCCAATCACCATCAACGAGAAGGATTTGAAAGAGGTTACTTCTTTCACTTATCTAGGGAGCATTGTCTCAACTACAGGAGGAACGGATGAGGATGTCAAATCGAGAATCAGGAAGGCGAGAAACACATTTATCAAGCTAAACCCAATCTGGAAATCCTCGTCACTCTGCATCAACAAAAAAATTCGGATTTTCAATACAAACGTCAAGTCAGTCAATTCTTCTATACGGATCAGAAACTTGGCGGGTCACAAAGAATATTTCCAACAGCCTGTTGCAGACCTTTATCAACAACTGTCTTCGTTCTATACTCTAGATCAGATGGCCGGAAAGAATCACAAACAAGAAGCTATGGGAAAAAACAAAGCAAGAACCAGTCGCTCAACAGATATGCAGGAGAAAGTGGAGATGGATTGGACACTCGCTGAGGAGGCCGTTGGGTGACATCGCGCGTCAGGCCCTCGAGTGGAACCCGAAAGGGAAGCGGCGAGTTGGTCGTCAGTGCAAAAGTGACAAGGAGGAGATTGTGAGAAGAGGAGTTGAAACAGTATGGATTAACATGGATGCAGGTGGAAAGTACAGCAGATAACAGAAGCAAGTGGAGGCGTGCAGTTGAAGCCCTTTGTTCCACTAGAAACCCAAGAGAACAATAATAATAAATTACAAGATGTCTCAAAATACATGCGACTACAATTCAAAGGTGATATACCGAATGAAATAGTCACCAGCAAGCTGTTAAAACTGACTCAATAACACATGATGCCTGTGAGGTACAGCTTTGATTTTTCACATAAACCTTCGTCTTTCGAAGACTGCGAGATAAATCAACTGTTCGTGTACCTTCTGTTGTTTTCACGAGTTGATCACGGACTGATATTAGTTAGAGAAGCATTGAAAACCATCACTGGAGTACTGCACACCTATTCCATTCTAGTTTGTGAATCATCAGCATCACGCACCCACTTGGGTTTGTACCCAGGGCCTTCCGGTTACAAGGCAACATCGTAAACCATTCAGTTACTGGGAACAGATTCAATGGCAAACGAACTGTTAGAGGTTAGAAATCAATGGCTTTTTCTTACTGTTTATGAGCTATCGAATAAAATATCGAAAAAAGAAAGCAGCAGATGCCACTGAGATTCGCCTGAATCAACTGGAGCTCTGTGGATGAAAACAAAGTTTGAGGCACAATTACTGACCTGGCCTGCTGTCAAGTCTGTGAATTCGTAACCTTTGATTATGAATGAATTGATTTTCTACTGTGTTCATCCTACTACTTCAATTCAAACGTGCCACTGGCGACTTCCATCAACAGCTAGCTGCCTTGCTCTCCCCACACTAACAGCAGAGAATAAAGTGAGATTGATATGTGCTATCGCAGCTCCATATATGACGTGGTACTCAAAAGAAAGAACAATAATGCTAATAGTACTGTTTCATTTGATGGTCATCATTCACTAGACATATGTGGATAAGCGCTGTTTGCACGTTTTGTTTTCTAAGCCTTTGATATTTTTCAAGTTTGACCACAAATTGGTATCAGTGAGGTCAGATATTCGCTAAATACATTGTTGGATGGTCGTACGTGAATCATCAACTGGATTACAGAGATTATATTTCACGTAATAGACTTTGAGTCGAGCTGATGGAGTGAATGGTGCGTATTCTCGTCAATCGCCTTCGCAATGAATACACAGCTAGCAAAACTCATTCTGGAGAAGTCAAAGCAAACTTCGATTGCTTTGGGGCAACGCATTCCTTAAATATAATGTGAAGTCCTCGAATTCCTGATCAGCATGAAAATGAATTCACTGCAAATGCACAGACTCCCAGCGACCGTCTAGAGTTAATGCACATAGCGCCTGATCATGTGAGTTCCCGACTCGTCTATTTGAAGTTACACACTTTCCGGTACAGTGATCGTGTTTGTCTCTCAGACTGCAGATGCATGAGTGTAAAATGAAAAGACTTCATCTTTCCAGGACAATGCAGTGATTATCATTACTCAGTTCACTTGGTGCGTCGATGGATCATGGTGACATAGTTCTCCTCATAAGACGACTCACTCACAGCATTACATCCAGGAATCACATTCCAGCCTACTCTTGCTTGCTTTGTACACACCAGTCACTGGAAAGCATCTCGACCGACAGTGTCGTCAATTCAAGAGAGCGAATCAGAGTGTGACAACCACTATTCGCTAATCAAAATGCAGGAAATGTGAATGGCCAGTAGATTCAACACTCCATTCAAAGCCACTCAGATTCCCCCAACACAATTCACGTCTACGGTAAGAAAGTGATTCATTCTCCCATGATATTCTCATGAGTATCGCTGAGCAGGAATCGTGTGTGTGCCAGCATCAGTCACTAGGTGACTTCATCGAATATCACCCAATGCATAATGAATTTATTTTGACTAAGTTTATGCGCTGACTTCGTCATAGTGGAAGCCTACACGCAATTCACCAGTCGGAAGCTGAAAATTCAGAGAATATCAGTGTGGTGTGAATCCAAGAGGATACTCACACACTGCTTCTCATCGATGAACACGATTATGCCTTTCACTCTGAGAATACTGGGACACGAAAACAAAGTGTTGACTGTTGTTAATATAATTGAACATTTATTGTCGTAATTTACATTCAAGTGGATTTGTGAATAATCAGAATGAAAAGCATTCACAGAATGAGATAGGTGACGTCTTGAGCAAATCAATTGTCCCGTTTCTCCACATCCCTCCTCTTCTTCTCAGATCATCCCACCTGTGTGTCGAAATGGAAAAGAAGAGAAAATGAAAGTGAACAGAATTCACGTTTGCTAAAAATGATAAACAGACACTGTACATATCTACACATTTCTCACTCAAATGTGACTGAAATGTGTGCAACTGATTGAAACATGTGGAAATGTGAAATATCATATCCCATATGATTACTCTGATGGAGGCTTGACTGTTTCAGTGGAGGATGAATGAGAAATCATTCATGACAAATTCACTCATCGCATGATATCATTGCACAGCACAGCCCAGCATAGCACAGAAGAGAATTACACAGCAGAGCATAGGATAGCATAAGCACTTACATAGTGGCATCGAGGACACTTTGATGCAGGTGGTGGAAGTTGTCGACGAAGCTCCTGAAACATTGGAAACACTTTATCAATACAAATCATTCATCACATCAACATTGACGCCAATCACATTTAAGTTCAGATTTTACAGCCTAATTAACACTCTCTGCAGCACTCTAAAAACGACACATGAAATTCTATATATCCCCTAAGCAAAACAGAATCGAGCCTGTTATTTATGCATTTGAATTCAACACCTCAATCCATTCGGACCTTATAAGGCATCTCAACAATATCTGTTCCGCACCTCGCTTCCTTCCTTCCTACCTTCGTCAACTCCTTGCTATTTTCTCTCCTCATATGAGAAATAGAAATCGTGCATCCATATACTCACGAGTGTGAATATACCACTCACTTTGCGAGATTCAATCACACACTCAGAGATACTTCACGTCGGGTCAAAGAATCACACAAATCATGACAAATATCACATATCACAGTTGTTTGTTATCTGGTATTGCTGAATTACTCGACTAGCTGAACTCGCACTCAATCAATTCTGTGCGATTTCCTCTATTCTCCTTGTTTCACCGATTGTATTATTGTATTTCCCTGTGTCTCCAAATGCACTCTGGCTCAATTTCAATCTCCTTCTTGACAGAAGCCTCAGCTGATGATGAAGAAGACGATGATGATGATGTTGTTGATAGTGGTGATAATCGTGTGAGCGTATTCCACTGAATGTCATTGTGATTGTACATGTGGATGGACAAACTAGTTAAAGGAATCATAAAACTCACCGCATCGGATAGAGTTCTCAACTGAATTGAATAAAACAAAGTAATTGAAGGCAATGAAGACAAGTTGAGAAATAGTCGAATGAAACTAGGTGTGATTCTGGTTTCATGCAGCAGCATATAAGCCGTCAAGGAGTGAATCACCCTGGATTCGTCGATAGGTAATTATCACAAACGTGGAGATTTCCAGTGATTCCCAGAGTTGCAGAATTCACATCTAGTCCGTCTTCGCAAATATTGAATATTCTCTAAATACACACTGAATCTCAATGTCTGTTCTCAATGCAAACAACTTCGATTCACACATACCATTCGCATCATCTTCGCTGGTAAATTAGAGGATATCGATTTGTGACTGTACACACAACAAGTATCACAGCTGAATGTACGCTAAATTCAAAATTTTACTCATGAGAAATACTTATCAGGAATCGCTTCAAAGTACAAAATCTGATAGGTGAGGCTGAATTCTCCAATTTCACAAGAAGGAATTCCGTCGGATTCTCCATCCACTGAATTAACATCCATCCATTAATCCATGTGAATTCAATACACGTCAGTTTCCGGACAATCCATAAATCAGTGCAAATCACGCCTCCATTTCGACTCTCGTCAGTGGTTAACTGGTTCAGCTGGTCGTTGATTCATTCAATGCTCGAAACAGCAACACACATTCGAAAAACGTGCAGGTGGTGCAAATAACTAGGCAGTTAAGAGAATCAGCACAAATGTCTGTTTGTTACTTACGCATGAACATTGAACCGTCGCATACCCCTGAGTATACGTGAAATATCTATACTGGGATTGCCACTGTGGTGCCTAGAGTGGAGGGGAGCAGAAAACAGCAGAAAATAAACAGAGATGACGTTTGCATTTGTGAGTGAACTTGTCTCCTCAACTCAACTGCCTCTATGCAAAGTCCGGATGTCAGAATACATTGCAAGGTGACCATGTATGTGTGTGGGTGTGTCCATTCATTGTCAAGAAATCATTTCGCATCTCTGACATACTAGTTCGATACAGCATATTCACATCTGACATCATCGTCAGCAACGAAACCGTCGTGTGGGTGACAGTGGATGATTGAGTGTCAGGTGAGTGGAACACTTCATTTCTACTGGAATGCAGTTTGTGAGTTGCTCAATCCACAGTTCGCAGATAAACGGATTCAATAAAATCACAGATTTCATTTACCTGCTGTGTTTAATTGTTGACTAGCTGAGAATCACTTTGTGTTCACCCTTATTGAGTGAGACTATTGGAAGTCGAGTGAGTGAATGGAGAGAAGCATCGATTCCAAGTACACAATGTTTAAGAAATATACCAGTATTCCTCTGAAGCATGCGTCAGTGAACAGATCTGATAAAGGATTGAATCCCCTACATCCTGTTCTGCTGACTTTCAGCATAATTGGTGTTATCAGTTTCCCAGAAATGTCAATGACAGGCAAGATTTTATGTTCGTTTTTGATGTTTTTTTGGTTACCAACAAGAAAATATCGATGGTAATTTCAAGAAATCTCAATCAAGTAGACATCCGTCGAAATTTCTGAAGTATGCATTCAGTTTCAAAGCCTCAACTATAGCATATTTGTACATAAATCTACGCTGATTCATACAAGCGATTATTGTCACCCATCCATCTGCTCGATTGATGAATTGATAAAGCTTCATCTACAAAATCTACAACATCTGTTATTGCACTCCTACTTACCTATACGTTCATCAGTAAGCAAAGAGGAGACTGCTGTCCCCTGAGATATCAGGCCATTACCAGTATTAAAATTGTTAAATTTACTATTGCTGAGTCTCTCCAAATTGCATGAAATCATTTTCAAAGATATTCTTTTTATTTAAATAACATAAAAATCTAATAATTACGCCAAACAGCCCACGCTTTTCAGTCGACCTCGTCGGAATCACCTAATGAGACAGATATAATTCATTCTCATCGTCCCTGTGCCAAATCAATGAAAAAATCTCTGATGTTTAATTGTCGATGAGGTCACATCATTACGCTTCACATTCTTCCGACTTAATTGTTCAATTCAATTATAAACAAACAGATTTATATCTACTCTCATTCCTCTCAGAAATCACTAGTGCCATTGATCGCATTTGTGTAGAACCACTTGTGCACACACTTCCATTCTCTTCTCTTTACTGTGTATGTCCAAGTGAACATTCTCACTGCTTGTCGATAGACCATACCTGATATGAGATAAGTGATTCGAATACTGAGAAATGGCAGCAGATATATTCATCTAAAATGTGAAGATGTGCATTGCGACAACATCAAATCAACAATTTCTGCAGCTTTGTGCTGTCTCGAGTGATAAATCTACGAAAATGTTCCAGGAATTCTGACTTCTCAATGAGGTGTGCGTTGATTAGGAATTGAAAATTATGAAAAGCTGCATGTCACACAATTGAAGGCTAATTACTACACTGAGTACAATGTGGTAACACAAGGCGCTAAAAATGTGCCTACTTTGGTCGAAAAACATGCCACTGATCGAATTATCGATTGTGTGGATCACGCTGACAGAGTCCAATCACAACGATGTACAAACACGAATTGTTAGAAACGTGGTCTCCCTTCTTATGTCATTCAGCGATTGGTGAATTCAACAAAGATTCTCTGTGTCTCATTGTGCGGTTGAGACACACACATGCAGTTGAGTGAGAGAAAATTTGATGAAGAACGATGACGATGAATTTAAACTGGCATTCGGCGATTTCACTTACAGTATCTACTGGAATGAGGAGTTCAGGGAAACTGTCCAATGCAGTTTGATTGACAAAGGACCATGATTGGTTTTCATTGAATTTCATTTATTTGCATAGCTATGTATATCAGTGGTGAGAAGTTCTTATATCAACTTATTGAAACCGATTTTGTTCGCCGAAAAGTGTGGAATAAAATTTGTGAATACGTACCAAATATACATCTTACATGTCCTCTCCAAACTCTAGCAGAGAACCGAACGCAATGGAGACGCATGGCTGAAGCCCTATGTTCCTCTAGGAACTATAGGAAATAATAATAATAATAATGTCCTCTCCATGCTCCGATCTCCTCAAATGAGATAAAGTAATACTCACTATCACGTAAATTGTATTTCCTGTGAAGTCACACACTTGAGTTACACCGTTAGTTTTGCATTGACTGAATTTCCATGGTGTGTGAATGAAGCGAGATGTGAGTTGGTGTTTGAAAATGATCAAAAGTGACCACTACATTCAGTGGCGTGGTTGTCAATGCTCAGTTAACGTCTACTTCAGCCTGCAGTATTTCAATGCATTCAGTAGCATGCATTCATCAGACGACAGAGTAGTGATGGTGACGCAGCACACCGTGCACTCGAACCGACGCAGTGCAACACAAAACAGTCGGGGAATACCATGGTTTATATTCCAAGCCATAATAGGACGGACTTAAAATGGGTAATCGTTGTCGAATCCTGCAAATACACGTGAATATATTATGCAACTATACTTCTGATCACAGTTCTACAATCTTCGGAGACCATTACTCCATTGAGCAGTAAGAGCTTTCTTGTCTCCCACCAATATGGTGACCACTTCGAAGAAACAAACGATTCAGTGTTTGGCTTAGAGTTAGTAAGATTGATTTGAAAATTTATGTATGTTACCGTGAAGCCGGCTGGATGAGATCTATTTCGCTAGCGGTAGCCATAAGTCGTGGATTCGCAAAATTCAGAATTAAAAAACTGAAATTTGCCTGAATCAACTTGAGCTCTGCTGATGAAAACAAAATTTATGGCACCATTACTGAAATTCCCCGCCCTCAGATTCCCTCAACAAAAGTCACGTCAACGGTGAGACAGCGGTTCATTCTGCCATCCCATCCTCATGAGTATCTCTGAACAGGAATCATGCGTGTGCCAGCACCAGTCACTAGATGACTTCATCAAATATCAACCAACGCATAATGAATTTATTTTGAATAAGGTCATGCGCTAACATTGTCATTGTGGAAGCACAGACGCAATTCATCAGTCGGAAGCTGAAACTTCAGAGAACATCAGTGTGGTGTGAAACCAAGTGGATATTCGCACACTTCTTCTCATCGATTTACACGATTGCGCATTTCACGCCGAGAATATTGTGACATGAAAACAAAGAGTAGACTGTTGTTAATATAAGTGAACATTTATTGTCCCAATTTACATTAAAGTGGATTTGTGAATAATCGGAATGAAAAGCATTCACAGAATGGGATAGTTGACGTCTAGAGTAAGTCAATTGTCCCGTTTCTCGACATGCCTCCTCTTCTTCTCAGATCATCCCACCTGTGAGTGCCGAAATGGAAAAGAAGAGAAAATGAAAGTGAGCAAAATTCACGTCTGCTAAATATGTGAAAAAGAAACTGTACATATATACACATTTCTCATTCAAATATGACTGAAATGTGTGCAACTGATTGAAAAGTGTGGAAATGTGAAATATCATATCCCATATGATTACTCTGATGGAGGCTTGGCTGTTTCAGTGAAGGTTAAACGAGAAATCATTCAAGACAAGGTCACTCATCGCATGATATCATTGCACAGCACTGCGCAGCATAGCACAGGGAAGCATAACAAAACATAGCATAACCACTTACATAGTGGCATCGAGGACACTTTGATGCAGGTGGTGGAAGTTGTCGACGAAGCTCCTGAAAAAATTAGAAACACTCAGTCAATACAAATCATTCTTCACCTCAACATTGACGTCATTCACATATAGGTTCACCTTTCATAGTCGAATAAACACTCTCTCCATCACTCTACAAACGACACATGAAATTATCTATTTCTCCTATGCGAAACAGAAACGAGCCTGTAATTTCTTCATTCGAATTCAACACCTCAATCTATACGGAACTTATCAGATAATTCAACGAAATCTTTTCTGCTCCTCACTTCCTTCCTTCCAATTTCGTGAACCACTTCCTAATTTCTCTCCTCATATGAGCAAATAAAATCGTGCATCCAAATCCTCACGAGTGTGAAATTACCACTCAATTTGCAAAATTCAAACACACTCAGCAATATTTCACGTAGGGTCAAAGAATCACACAAATCATGACAAATATCACATATCACAGTTGTTTGTTATCTGGCCTCGCTGAATCACTCGACCAGCTGAGTTCCTACTCAATCAAATCTGTGCGATTTCCTCTATACTCCTTGTTTCACCGATTGTATTATTGTATTTCTCTGTGTCTCCAAATGCACCCAGGATCAATTTCAATGTCTTTCGAGACGGAAGCACCAGCAGATGACGAAGAAGTCGATGATGTTGATAGTGGTGATAATCGTGTAGGCGTATTCAACTCAAAGTCGCTGTGATTGTACATGTGGATGGACAGACTAGTTTAAGGAATCATAAAACTCACCGCATCGGATAGAGTTCTCAACTGAATTGAATAATAAATAATTGAAGGAAATGAAGACAAGTTGAGAAATAGGGAAAACAGAATATTCACTGTCACATGCGCACTCAATTCAACCGAACTGCTGTCTCTAATTTGCCAATAGCGAGGAAAGAATTCTTTGTGTTCGTGCACAACGTCCGTTCGACTAGCCATCCCTCAACATCTTCACTGCTATTCATACTTGGGGGAGACAAAGACAATTGAAGAAGGCGTTGTTCACTACACAGACGAGTGATGTGAACGATGTGATGTGAAGGCGTCGTCAGTTGTCACAAACACACACTTGTCATTTCCCACAACCACTGCACAGAACACAGTTGGACAATCTCAGTCAGTAGATCATCTCCCACAACCGGTTATCATTCTCCCTCACACAATAAGTTGAACACTCATGAAGAGTATTGGGTCTACAATGGGAATGTTTCGAGGTGAAATGATTTCCACCACCATGAATCACCTTCACACACCTACTTCCGCCTGATCATTATCTGGGGAACGCACCGATGTATTACACTCTCAAATGAAACTAGGTGTGATTCTGGTTTCATGCAGCAGAATATAAGCCGTCTAGGAGTGAATCACTTTGGATTCGTCGAGAGGTAAACATCAAAACGTGGAAATCTCCAATGATTTCCAGTGTTGCAGAGTTCACATCATGTCCGTTTTCACAAATATTGAATATTCACTAAATACACACTTAATCTCAATGTCTGTTCTCAATGCAAACAACTTCCATTCATACACACCATTTGCATCAACTTCGCTGGTAAATCAGAGGATTCTGATGATACAGATTTCTGGCTGTACACAAAACAAGTATCACAGCTAAATGTATGCTAAAATCAAAATTTTTCTTATGAATATTACTTATCAGGAATCGGTTCAAATTCCAATTCTCCGATTTCACATGAACGAATTCCGTCGGATTCTCCATCCACTGAATTAACATCCATCCATCCATCCATGTGAATGCAATACACGCCAGTCTCCGGTTAATCCAGATATCAGTGCAAATCACACCTCCATTTCGACTCTCGTCAGTGGTTAACTGGTTCAGCTGGTCGTTGAATCATTCAATGCTCGAAACAACAACACGCATTCGACAAACATGCAGGTGATGCAAATAACTAGGCGGTTAAATGAAGCAGCACAAATGTCTGTTTGTTACTTACGCATGAACATTGAACCGTCGCATACCCCTGAGTATACGTGAAATATCTATACTGGGATTGCCACTGTGGTGCCTAGAGTGAAGGGGAGTAGAAAACAGCAGAAAATAAACAGAGATGACGTTTGAATTAGTGAGTCAACTTGTCTCCTCAACTCACCTGCCTCTATGCATAGTCTGGATGTCAGAATGCATTGCAAGGTGACCATGTGTCAGTGTGTGTGTGTGTCCAATCATTGTCAAGAAATCATTTCGCATCACTGACATACTAGTTCGATACAGCATATGCACATCTGACGGCATCATCAGCAAGCAAACCATCGTGTGAGTGACAGTGTATGATTGAGTGTCAGGTGAGTGGAACACTTCATTTCTACTGGAATGCAGTTTGTGGGTCGTGCAATCCACAGTGCGCAGATAAACGGATTCAACACAACCACAGTTTTTTTTCACAAGTGATGAAGGCGAGACTGATGGAGAGACACGGAGCGTGAGAGAGGAACGGGATTGGTGGTTTAAGCATGACACTTTTTTCATTATTAAGCGTCTTCTGACACAATTCCTAACGTCCGATCATGACCAGTGTATTCAGAATGCATCAATGATTGCAATCCATCTCGAAATTCATCTTTGCTCAATGAAAAACATAACACAGATGGCAGCACGTTATCAACATTTCTCTGCAGCTATTAATTTATGCTGATGTTAACAAAGAAGGAGGAATTATTCCAGAATGTTTATTCTGGATTCTCTCAGATGTATGAGACAGCGACACAAAAGCACTCGCACGCACACACTCAAGAATCGGTGGACAGCCTAATGAATCTGACGGTGCGAGACACAACAACAAGCTACATGGCTTATCCAAACAACCACTGAATACGTGTCTGACATCACCTGTGACACTACACAGAGAACATCAACATGAACAACTGACTTACCGGCATGTCTGCGTCAACTGAAAGTATTCAAGGAAACAGTGACCATTATGAAATAAGAGGAGAAGAGAAGAGATTAGATCAGATTTGTACTTACACAACGAACAACAAACATTTCGTGGTGGGAAATCATTTTAAAGTAATTGAGTTCACTGGTGACAAGAGATGAATCTGCACGTTCTTCAGCACCAAATCAACATGCATTTGTCTCCGCCATATCACACATGAACAGTGAGCATCTTGAACAGCCACACATTTGATGAGTTTGTGTTACGTGAACCGCAGAGCAGAACACACACCCCATTTGTATTATTAATCATCTCCAATGTCTATCAACAAACATGGAAATCTCCGTGTGTGGGTGTGTGGGTGTGTGTGTCGGATATCTGTCGATGCACTCGGAGTAATTTCGCGAATTTGCAGAATGTTATATCAACAAATACCGCTCATTCTCCTGAAACAGCGAATTCCAATTTTCCATATCAAACAAACAAGTTTCTGACAAATCCTTCCGACATATATTCACCGTGACTCCCCAATGAACATGTTTCCTTTTCGACCGCATGAAGACAAACGGAGCTCCCTGTGGTGCGAATAATGCATGAATGAGAAGATTACCAGTGAGACTCAACATCCCGGTCAAATTGACTTTTCTGGGAATCTCAGTCAATGACATTCCACACAAACAACAAGTGCGGTAACACAAAACTATCGCAACAGTTACACAATATGAAATGAAAGTACAATCAAACTTGTATCACACATGTGGACACCCATAGAGACTGAACATTCGCGTGACTCGACATCAGATTGTCAAGCGAATGATAACATATACCGTCGACTTACCTTGAATTCCACTTGTCGACAGAAGAACGAAACAGAGGAGTAATGACCAGAAAGACATTGTATGAAGCACTGTATGAAGCAAAGTAATGCACGAGTTTGACATGAAGCCGACATGGATCTGCTTTTATACACTCGTAATCTGTGTCATCACAGTTCGTGTCTGTCTGTGTCTGTGACTGTCAACACTGATTGTCTGTCACAGAGTTGACCAGTCATAATGTTAGTCAGTTTCCACCAATCAGTGTTCTTTCTGAAGTGTTGTGTTTTAGCCAGTGCAATGTGAGAGGAACATCAATGCGTTCAATGACAAATACTCTTCTTTACTCAGTCACACTCTGATTGGCGGCGATTCAGTCTTCACAAAATCAGTCAGCCATTCGCCTGAATGTAGACACACATCGACTGCCGCCCCCCTATTTATCAAGCTACCTCGCCTTGTTTCACTTCATAGAACCGTGTGTCCACTGACTCACTCACAAATCAGTCGACAGTTATTTTTCACCCTTCTGATACATGTGTGTTTATTGGTGCATGAGCAGCTGTTTGATGCATGGAAAGACATTAAATTATTCCCTGTCCCTAAACCTGGAAACAGCTAGCACGTAAATTTCAGACCCATTGCCATCACTTCCCCGCTTCTAATGCTTATGGAAAAACTAGTACTTCTTAAACTTGAACCTTCCTTTTGAAGTTTTGAAAACCCCAAACAATTTGCCTATAGACAGGTTAGGAACACTTTAGATGCTGCAACCGTCTTACACAACTGTATCGACTCATCCTTAGATAAAGGTGCCAAATACGTCCACTGCACGTTTCTTGACTTCACTTCTGCTTTCGACTCTGTACCTAGATGTCTCTTACTAAATAAGCTCTCTATGACAAAAACTGAGTCATGGGTCACTAACTGGCTGCATTGCTACTTCTCTAACAGAAAGCAGTACACCATATACAAACGTAAATCCTCCTCTGCTGCGCCCACTGAAGCTGGTGTCCCTTGAGGTGTTGTACTCTCCTCACTTCTTTTTTCTTTCTTTCTACATTACTTACCGTCTTCAAATGTCAAATATGCTGACGACCTGGCCGTTTCTTTGCCTGTCTAATGTCAAAGTGACTGCTCTAAACTTAATCGCTTTCTGTCAGAAATCAGCCAGTGGTCCAAGGAAAATGGTCTTACCCTAAACCCCTCTAAATGCCAAACAGTCAATTTCACCTTTAGGCATAAATCTGACCCAAACAAACTGGTTGGCTCTTACGAGGTTTGCAACATGGATGGCGTTGAAATAGAAGCCAAGTCAGAAATTAATTACCTAGGCGTCATTCTATCTCCTGATCTCTCCGGGTCGTCTCATAACTTGGCGATTTCTAAGAAAGTATTCCGTCTTACCTTCTACATCAAGAAGTTAAAACATTCTGGTATAACCCAACCCTTACTCCTACAATTCGTTAATTCTCGCAGTCTGCCTATTATTCTCCATTGTTCCTCCTTAGTTTTTCCCGGGCTACTGGAGAAAGACTATAACATATTACGCAGGATGTTAAAGGTTGTCAGCAGGGTAAGCAACGTGCCACTTAACCAGCTTGTAAATATTCTGGTTGACAGGCACATGGACTCATGTGAAAAATGGGCTAAATTCATTTTGTCTAACTCACACCACCCTCTTCACTCACAACTCTCCCCTTTGCTTCTCATCAGGCAAAACCAGAAGCACTAGCAAGTACAAAAACCCAACCATACCCTATTTAGCTCGTGTTCTGTGCGATAAAGAATGCATTAGGCGTTACACCTATAACTTAATAAATAGTCAGTAGAACAACTGGATCTCGTCTTTCCAAATAACGTCATTTAAAGGTACAACATTTTCTTTCTTTCTTTTCGTATTCTCTCTCTCTCTCTTTTTACCGTTTTGTGGTGCTTTGTTTCTTTCTCTCGCTTACGCCATTATATATGACAGCATCAACTTTTCTAGCACCTTCATACACTGTTCAGTATTGGCTTTCCTACCAGCATGCCAATATGTTGTTGTCATAATGAACTGAGATTTCCTCAAACTATGGTGGATTTTATTTATTGGTGATGTAATAACTGGATGCAATACTGTAGTAAAAGGTTGACAATTCCATTCTGTATCACAAGTACTGTTTTGGAATAAAGCAAATTATTATTATTATTAGTCGATTTGTTAGTGGGAAAGAAGAGATGACCAGAGACACTTGAATACACGATAATCAGGGAGAAATGACAACTTGAAAAGAGATCAGTCCATGAGTGCTTCACTCACACAGAACATCCGTTCAACATGTCGAAATCATTTCACACGCATAGCGAGCGATCAGGCTGAATGGTGTCGAGATCCAACAGACCACCTGTACAGAAGTCATCTCACAAAATGCATCATTCACCAACAGGTTGTCACTATCAGTGTGGCTTGAAATTGCTAATCATGGCGTCGGTTAGGGCATCATACATACACATCTGAGAGCATGTGAAAATAAGGAATCCATACCCACCTCATGACTGAATACACTCAGCAATCACACCATCTGTTGAGTGAGGGAATCATGCTGTTCTGCAAAAGTCAACTTCTCAGCCACGTGATGAATTTTATCAACCTCTCAATGATAATTTCCACCTAACGCGTGTCAACAGAAAGCGAGCATCTCCTCCTCACTGATAGTTTCAGCATTTCACTCTACAGCTAAACTGTGTTGCATATAAATTCGACTGTGTCGTTCACTCTACCCATTGTCCGATAATCGAGCTCTCTGATAGGTTGTCTTCTTTGCCTGAGATTTGTCAAAATGTGTGGGCTGCGTACCAGGGTGCCAAGCTTCCCCAAACAACCATCATCGAACGCCGTGCGTCCACGACACTATCAGATTCATGTTTGTCTGAAGACTGATCGTGAACTGGTACACAATTCGAATTTCAGAGGACAGCAGATTACAAGTGGCAGCGAACAGCATAATTAACACACTCCACTCAGGTAACACGGTTCACGTACGAATCACTCATCATTTCTCAATCGACACAGCACATTAGCGTGGATGTTAATAATAATGATAATAATAATTTGCTTTATTCCGGAAACAGTACTAGTGGTACAGTGTGGAATTTTCCACACATATCTACAATATTTTACCGACTTTTATAAAAAGCATTAGACAAACAAAAGAAATATGTCTGAAGACACCAACAGCAAAAAACAACAAAAAAAACACGATAAACACAAAATAATTATGAATGCGAAAAAGTACCAATGTCTACCAAGGTCTAATGCAGTGTTCGCGGTGG